GGTTTTCACCTGTCATTTGGAGTAGCAGCAAGTGACAGGATATACTTTCACAAAACACAAAGATGAGTTTATTTTGCCATATTTAGTCCCTATAACATTTCAAGCTGTTATATCTTATAATAAGCATTTTTATTATTATTGATAACAACATGGCCACAAAAATGATCATGTTTTACACTTCTTTTATTTTGCAATGTTTCCAAAACTGTTGCTTACATTATGTCATTCAGTTTCCACTCTAACCTTTGGCATGGTAAGCAAAGCATATTGTATCATAATTTTAATAAATATCACTACTGAATCTTAAAAAAAATGAAGTCACTTGTTCATAATCACATGGCTAGGTGAATCCCAGTCTAGACCACAGGACTTCTGGTGTTCGGTCAAATCCTGTCTATTCCCTCATTAATTCATTTTGTGGTTTATGATCATTGATAGAAAATGAAGATTCAAATGATATTAGAAGCAATTGTATTTCATTAGATTTCAGCCTTGATCGTAAGTTTAGACATTCTGCCACTGACAGTGTTTCTTAAACTTGATCATCTCTTGACTGGGATTGCACCCAAGAGGAACTTGGGCCAAAGTGGTAAATGTAATTATATCATGTCAGAAGGAGAGTTTGGGTATCAAAGAGGGCACGTATTGCATGGAGCACTGGGTGTTATACGCAAACAATGAATCATGGAACACTACATCAAAAACTAATGATGTAATGTATGGTGATTAACATAACATATAAAATTTTTAAAAAGAGGAGAATTCGGTAGCCACTCTTTTCTCATTTTGGAATTCAAAAGGAATTTTAGTAGTTGTCTCTCTTTAGTGCCGTGCCTCTTTTATGGCCTCTACTTTCTTAGTATAGTTTTATACTGTATTATCAAACCAGCTGGCCTGGTGATTAAATTGGTACTTCAGACATCTAGACTACCACCAAAATACAATTATATTTATTACTTGAACTGTGTAGTCATTGAATTTAGCTGAGATGACCCAGATTTCCCCTTTGATGTGAGCTTGGACAGTATGCATTTAGCTAACAAAACCCAGTTCCAGATTCACATTCTTGCTGATGTTTTTAAAAACATTCGACTTTCCTCAATTATTATACAGACTGTAAATACATAAGTGTATTTTTTCCTGCTAGTGGTTTTGGATCTCAATATGATATATTCCCTCAGTAGGCTGTAAAGTTTTTATTGCTCTTGCCTGATATATAGTAGGTGCTCAGTCAATATTGAAATAATAAATAATTCCAATTGGCCATGGTTCCTCTATTAAGGTACCATTTATTGAGCCCCTGCTATAGATGACATTTGGCTGTTCTCGTGTATCCTATTTACCTAAGTCATTTTCAGATTTCTAAATTATTTTATTTTTATTCAATTTTAAAATTTTCCACTCAGAAAATTTCCACTCAGTATTGTTGCTCAATGAGTAAGTTTTTGCAGGAACTACTGAGACCGAGGTATGACGATTAAAAACAAAATGACAAAATTGGTTTGATGGTGCTAAGCAAGGTGGAGGGACACAAAATAAGTAATTTCCCCTGTCCCTAAGGAACTTATGGTAAAGAAAGAGTCACACTTCAAAACAAAACAAAACTAATAATGTTAGATGAAATCACATCTTTGCTGCAAGAAAGGAAAAAAAAAAAATGACCTAAGAAAAAAAATCCCCAGAAAGGGATTTATTTGAGATGACTATTGAAGCAGGTGGAGGTGAAAAAGGATTTAATACAGAACTGAAGGAAGGGCATTTTAGGTTAAGAGAACAGAACATAAAGATACAGGTCTAAAGGGGTGAGTATTCGTGATGGGTTTCAGAAGCTGCTAATAGTTGTGTATGGCTGCCACTCAGTTCTGCTAAGGCCCTTATCTGCACACTAGCTGTTTGAATTCAGGCCTTCATCATTCCCTTGCATCTTGGGTAGTGAAAGAATGCCTGGCCTACTTTTGCAGGTTCATCTTATGAATATCTCAATCACGCAAGTCAATCTTACTTTGAACCCTTTTCCTGAAGCCCAGCGGTCACCTTTGATGTCAGAAAACACTCGAAGAATTGATTTCCATTCCCTCAGCAATTCACATTATTGTCAAGAGAGTCCCCAGTAAAGTAGTAATATATTTAGTATACTTCCAATATGCATGACACATATAACGCTTACAAGTCTATTGCCTTTTCAGAAACAATCACCAAAGCACACGGTATGTTATCAGGAAATACCCTACAGGTCTTTGTAATAGATTTGAATGGCTTCAAGATTCTGCAGACCCAGACTTTCTAAGCGGTCTCTCTTGAGTAAAGAATTGAGTTGCAGGGTAGTAAGGCTGTAGTTACTGCCTCAATGCATGTAAAGCCCAGTTCAGGAAAGGCCAGGACCTTGGAGGTTGCAATGACAGGGAGAACATCCATCATTTAATAAAACCTGGGGAGAAGGACGAAGTCTAAATGCACAAGGAGAGAACTCTCAGATGTGAGTGAAATGCAACAAAGCTGCACACTTGAAACTTCTACGATGAGCCTTTAAACTTAAGATATATGAGATACATATGTTAAACTCATTTGTTTTTTTATTAACGTTTAAAGAGAACTTACCAGGTATCAGGTACTATTCTAGGTCCCAGGAATAGAGCAGTGAAACAAAAGAGAAAAATGTCCCTTTCTCATGGAGGAAGCATAATATTACATGGAATTTAATTCTTAAAGCAACCCTCCATGGAAGATATTCCTATTTTTTGAAGACTTTTTTTTAATTTAAAGTCAATTAGCCAACATATAGTACATCATTAATTTCAGAGATACTCCTATTATCTCTCTTTTACTTATGGTAAAACTGAGGCCCATGTGGGTTAAATAATTTGCCCATTGCCAAACAGCCCGAATGTATCACAGCTGCAATTTGAACTCAGGCAGCCTGGCTGTCAGCCATTAATCTGTGTGGTTTCCTGTTTGTTATCCATGAAAGAGAAAATGAGCTAATGTTTACTGGGTATTGACCTTGTACCCTTTGGGGGTCTTGGGGATACTTTAAACATGAAATATTGTCACTTACAATTCCATGAGGAAGTATTAGCATCCATATTTTATAGATAAGAGAAATAAAGCCCAATGAAGTTAAATGATTTGCGAAAGGTCACATAGCTGCTAAATAGCTGAACCAGGATTCAACTCAGTTTTTTTTGTCCCTTGACATATATTCTCTTCCTATTGTGTACTGCAAAAATGAATAAATGTTAGGATTGTCAAAGAGTCAGTATTTACTTCAACTTTTGTGTTTGGAGAAAGTAAATACAGTCAGTGTTTTGGATATATGCTACTTTCTAGAATTTTTCTTTCAGTGTCTTTGAGAACCTATGTGTGTCTACTTACTGCCTGGGATATGTTCTACATGACTAACAAGTTTCTCTGTCATTTAGTATAAGACACAAAATGTTGTTCTAGGCATGTGTTTTCAAGTCAACTCGCTCTGAAACTTACAAGATCTTATATCAGTGTGTCCTCCAAAATTACTTGATTAATGAACCTTTAACAATTTGAGAAATTGATCTATAGTTAAATTTGAAATGAATGCTGGATGCAAATATGGTGTTTTATGGAGTTCACCATCCTTTCCACTCTACTACTTCTCCAAAATACTCATCTAGATTTCCTTCTCATTTTCAATATTTCAATCAGTATTTTTCTCCTATTTCCATATAAATGTAATCATCAAGTTACAAGAAGAAAGAGAAACATGTACCAGGTAGAGAAAAGTGGATGTTTATTATGCTATAATTTATCTAAGAAGGAAGTGAGTGGGATTTGTGTACATGTGTATATATGCACCTGTAAAATACATGGAAAGAGACCTATTCAGAAGGATGAAGTAAAACTGTAAAAAATAGTTAGCTATAGATATTCAGAGAAAATAGAAAATGGAACAAGAATAGAAGCTAGATTCCTCTGAATAAACTTTAAGAATTTGACTTTAGAAATATATGAAATTTTTTTATCTTTTTATTTTATTATGTTATGTTAATCACCATACATTATATCATTAGTTTTTGATGTAGTTATCTATGATTCATTGTTTGCATATAACACCCAGTGCTCCATGCAGTACGTGCCCTCCTTAATACCCATCACCAGGCTAACTCATCCCCCCACCCCCTCCCCTCTAGAACTCTCAGTTATATATGAATATTTAATATAATTATAACATCTAATTTAAATTTTTCTAAAAATTGAAAACACAACAAAACAAATACATCTAACTGCAAATTTAGTTGGTGACAAAACTACATACAGACACACACACATACACAAACAAACACACACACACAAGTCATTTAAAGTGACTTCCAGACATAGAAGTTTATTAATGTCATTGTATTAATGACAAACACACACACACACACAAAATCCAAAGCAAAAAAACACAGTATGTTGCACACCTAAAACTAATACAGTGTTATTTGTCAAATAAAAATAGAAATAGAAAAATAATAAATTCAATTATATGAAAAAATGTAATTATGTTTTGTAATCATATTTTTGGAGGTAGTGTTGATATCGTTATCCTGAGACACTTGTTAAAAGATCCTGGATCACTCATGATCTAATTTAACCAACTGAGCCACCCAGGCGCCCCTCTCATGATCTAATTTGAAAAGGCTTCCACCAGTCAAAAATGTCTCCATTTGTGTATCAATAAGAATAATGACTGCACTGTATTGAAATGCGTCAACTGTGTTGAAATCCTTTCACCCTCATGATACAAAACAACCCTAACACAAATTTTGGAGGATGCTAGGGAACCAACCCATTATTTTAAAAACTGACAAAAAACGGAAAAGAATCAAGCATTTATCCTGTCTGTCTTTTAAGAACTGTAACTAAATTGCTGTTGGGTGGGAGGCAAGTTTTTCAGTATAGGATATTTCAGCTAATAAATGAAAAAAGAATGATATAAATCAGAATACGTTTTGCAACTCTTTATGAAATAATGGGTAGGTCGGTAGAGGCGGAAGGAGGAGGTCGGGTCGGGACGCCAAGGTGGCCAGCAGCTAGCTCATCGGTGCCCATGGGCTTTGTTCGTTCCGTGCCTCGTCTCTCCCTGGAAGGGGAGGGAGGCTTCGACACCAAGCAGGAGCCGCCGCCGCCGCCATCCGAGCTTGAAGTGGCTAGGACTTCTCTCAAACTTGTGTGCTGAGGAGACTCAGGTGTTGGCCTCAGCTCCTAGGCTGAACTCAGCAGATCGGCCCATGAAAACTTCTGTATTGAGACAAAGGAAAGGATCCGGCAGAAAGCAACATCTATTATCCTGGGCTTGGCAGCAAGGAAGGGGACAGGTAGTGGAAATCCTGCAATCCGAAAAGCAGACTGAAAGGTGACAAAGAAGCTGAAGATGGGTGGCGGAGAGAGGTATAACATTCCAGCCCCTCAATCAAGAAACGTTAGTAAGAACCAGCAACAGCTTAACAGACAGAAGACCAAGGATCAGAATTCCCAAATGAAGATCGTTCATAAGAAGCAAGAAAGAGGACATACTTATACCTCATCAGCAGCTGCACGGCAGGCCATGCAAAATGGGGGGAAAAACAAAAATTTCCCAAATAATCAAAACTGGAACTCTAGCTTATCAAGTCCTAGCTTACTTTTTAAGTCTCAGACTAATCAGAACTACGCTGGAGCCAAGTTTAGTGAGCCACCATCACCAAGTGTTCTTCCTAAACCACCAAGCCACTGGGTTCCAGTTTCTTTTAATCCTTCTGATAAGGAAATAATGACACTTCAACTTAAAACCTTACTTAAAGTACAGGTATAAAGTAAGATACTAATGTTTAAATTTAGTTATATTTAAGGGTAGTTGTCCATTGTTCAGACCAAATTCACTAGGGAATTTATCTGTAAAACTGCTAATTAATGTAGAAAATACAGACATCATCTTAACCTGTTTTCCCTGTTGTGTGCACTGTGTTGTAATGGTAGTATCAGTGCAACTTAAAATTAACTAAATTATTGGTAATTGTACTTGATATTGTGTTCTCAATTGAGTAACTCTTAAACCTGTCAAGTTTAGATTTGGGGAATGGTAATAAGCTTTTCTTATTGGTTGGGCAAAAATACTAATTTAAGAATATCATTCATGGATCAGATTTACTTGTTGAAAACGAGTCAATCTGATTATAAGCATCCAGTTAAAAGACATACAGGGATTGAAAAGTAGTTGAATATTTGAGTTTTAAGTCCTAGAACCACCCAAACCAGTAATACACCAACAACCTGATGCACTGCCAAAAAGAAAATGTGAATTTTTCTTAAGAGAATAGTTGCATTTTAGTAAACTGTGTGCTGGTGAATGTGGAAAGGGCTCTAGGGGCTATCTAATTTAGAATGAGACCAGATACCCCAGTGGCCGTTTTCTTTCATGCAGTATCTGCCAACTAAAGCACCAAAACCATTTTTTAGAGACAGTATTTGGTGGTCACTGGGTAGCTTTCAAAATACATTTTTGTATTATAGCACTGCATAAGCTATTCTGACAGTGATCTGGTCTCAACTCATTCCCCGCAAAGCTTAAAAGTGGGGAGCTATATAATGTGAAAGTTTTAAGTACCTAGGAAAGAGCCATGTAAATATATGTAATAAACTTGTAGCATATGTAAAGTTTTGTTGGCATTTATCCTACGAAAATAGAATATTTTAGTATGAATTTGCTGAATGTAAGACCATGGACTCTGTTTTTATACTATGGCCTGATTTTAAAGGTCCAAGATAATTTGTTTTTAAAGTTTGCCCTTGTGCTAAAGTGCCAGTGTATGTATAATTGATCTGGTTGTAAACTATATTTCAAAGTAAATCCTAGTGTAATAAGTTTTATATAACTGTAAAGGTTTTAAGCTGCTAAAACACTTCCTATTTTTAAGAGATGTGAAATGCAGTATGGGACTGTTTTAATTTTTCTTCCTTAAGCCCAAAGATTAACTATTAAAGGGTCCCTCCAACCTTAAAAAAAAAAAAAATAAAAAAAATAAAGAAATAATGGGTAAGCAGTGCTCACCATTGGCTGCAAACATCACAGAGAGAGATAGTTTCTTTTATGTGTCTGATAGAAATACCCAACAGCATCTATGAAAACATCTTGCCAAAAAATGAATTCGAATCTAATCAAGTCTGTAGATCTAATGACCACTTTTGGGAGACATCATGAGAATAGGTTGGGCAAAATCCAAGCTCTGGAAATTTTACATGAAAAACAACCTGGTTTCTTCAACAAATAAACTGCAAAAAAAGACAAGAAAACCGAGTAAGAGTCTCAAGAGACATTGTGGGGACCTTATTTGGATTGTGATTTGAAGAGACAATAAAAAGAAAAAGGAGACATTGGGAAATCTGAGATTGGCTGGAAGATTTGTATACTTTCTGAACATTTGATATAGTTCATGTTTTTAAGTGTGGTGAAATATGGGTACATTTTTAAAAGAGTACTTTACATTCTAAATATACAAACTGACAAGCATGTGATTTGCTTTCAGTAATTGGGAGGGAGGGTCAGGAGTAAAGATGAAGCCTCACTGGCCTTGAGTTAGTTATAATTAAGCTGTATATGGGGCACATGAAAGTTTCTTAAACTTTAACTTCTACTTTTGTAGAAGTTTATAATTTTTCATTAAAAAAAGAAGGGCGCCTGGATGGCTCAGTCAGTTAAGTGTCCGGCTCTTGATTTGGGCTCAGGTCATCTCATGGTTGTGGGATTGAGCCCTGCCTTGGGCACCACGCTCAGCAGGGAGTCTGCTTGTCCCTCTCCCTCTGCTCCTCCCCCAACTGTTCACACACGCTCGCTCGCTCGCTCTCAAATAAATAAATAAAATCTTAAAAAAAAAAAAACCCTCAGAAACATATTGTTTCTTGCTGTGGATTATGAGCTGTAATCTGAGTTTTGCTAAAGAAATTAACAGAACTTAATCCAATTACTCTCATTTATATGCCTGTAATTTTTAAAAGTTAATTTCAGTAGAACCCTCACATGTATGGGGCCACAAGTGGTGGCCAAATTCCACATGTCTAAATATGCAAAAGTTGTAAATCAAGCTAGCAAACTGCTGAATGAAATATTTTCTACTTCCTAACCTTGATGAATGTGCCTTTATCAGGTCCTGGAAGACCAAATTTTAAAGTTCTCTGGTATCTTGGTGTTTTGTCCTGGGTTGTGGTGGTACCAAACAACCAGTTCCTAATTCCCAGCCTGCAGCCCAATCTTTTGGTCATCTCCCTTTCTCTCCCCACCCCGAGCCCCATCTTCCCATACCACCAGGGGCCTTAATGCACCCCGAGTACATCCCAGCTTTTAAGTCTCTACCGTGTCCACACTTCCTGTCTAATGCCACTTCTTGGGATGTAGGTGCACATGAAGGCCTGTGCTGGTCCTGGAAACAGGCTCAGGGCCATTGGGAAGGAAATTTCTGGTTCACAAGTACCTAGAGCTTCATGAGACAGAGGGGAGACACAGACTTTGTATGGGCACATCCTCTTGACTCTAAGGAGTCCTCACCTGATGGAAAAGAGGGGTTATAGGAGCATCAGAGTGGAGCCCTCTGGGGCTTATGGCCCAGAGCTTGACATCTCATGCCTGGGATAGGGCTCTGTTATGTTAAATTCTACAACTCCTACAAGAAACCTTTAATTTTGCTCACATGGTTTGATATATTTGATTGCTTTTTACATTTGGGTTTGCAAATATTGACAACAATTTAAGTGAAATACAAACTGAATATTAGTCATCTTACAAAAATTGTTTTTTGCTCTCAGAGTATATTTAGCAACTTCAAAGGCTTTAGCTGCCTCAGTTCACTTCGTAGAATTAACACCAGCTCAAAACATATTCAAGAAAAAAAAAACAAACCAATTTTTCAAACCATCCTTAAAGGAGGAGATGATTCTTGTTTGAATAGCATCCAAGGCAGGGGCACTGGCCTACTGCCTGAACTCTACAACACAAATACTATTATGCTCAGCCAGAGAGACACTATTCTGATAAACTGGCAGAAAACTTGCCCAGAAGAAGGAAGTATGGTCTTGTGGAAGAGCTGGAAACAGAATTCAGCAAAGATAACTGCTGTGATTGCCCTCTGGCCTATCATCTGGGGACACGTTTCATACTAAAAATTGGTGAAAGTGTAAGGCCAGCAGTAGCCTCCCTGGAAACATCTGGCTCTGGGTCAGCTCTAATAGGAATGAGTCAATCCGCTATCAGACAGTCAGTCCCACCATGGTGACCTTGGGTCCGATGTAGTGGCATCTGGACATTTGTAGGAGGCAAATTACAGGGTAGTTCTGACAATAATTTTATATTAAACTAAATGGCTGCTACTCATCTGTCTACAAAAAGGCTTAGAAGGGATCTAATATTTTTATGCCTTACTGAAAATGGAATTGCCGTTAAGGTTGCTGGTGGTTACAGCTGAAAATTTGCCTCAGAAGTATAGCTACTAATTATACTGTTAATCTGTTCCTTCAGCAGATACTTGGGAGTGTTTTTACTGTGTATTATTAGGCACTGTAACAGACATTCTCTGACTATATGTGCTTGTGTTTGGGTGTGTTTACTTAATCCTTGCAGTTAACCAGTGAAATCAGTGGCATCATGCCTACTTAAAGAAAAGTAAACTGAGGCTCAGAGAGCTAAGGCCATAAAACAAGTAAGTACTTCTGTATTGTACTTCCAAAGTTTTATACTCCCTCTGTGTGTCGTACTACCCTTGATCTTCCCCATTTTCTTGAATGGAGAATTGTGCACTTGTATATCCCAACCAGAATTCTGTTTCAGCATCCTCTCGTACACTCCTTTAATTCACTTGTAATCTTGGTTTCTATTTTGGGGAGATTTTACTAATATTCTGCTGTGCCCCTCTATTCCTAGAGTTAAAACGTCATGTGATTTTCCACTAATATACCTTTTACTCCGTGGTCACTATTTTGTAATTTTTATCTAAGCATCCTGTTGACCAAGTGTTCATAACAGTTCAATATGAATGGGGCCCTTGAGTGCAATTGGAACTGGGTACAATGAAGAAGAATCAGCTGCACTTAACATCATTCCTCCCTGCACCAAAGGTACCAGGGCACAATCAGCTTTGGGTCATGCTTTTGTGATGGAGAATATCCTTGCTTCCATAGAGACAATGGCAGAGAGGCATGAGAGAGTGATCATCACAGTAGTATTTGTAGGATGTTCTTCTACCTGTGCAGATTCCACGTGGCTATCATGAAGACTCTGGTTCACACTGATTAAATGGAAATGAGCTGATCTTATCCACTGGTTGATTCATATATACACTCATCACCTCCCAAACCATGTGGGTCTTATACTTCTTGTCTATCCCCTTGGTCTGGGAATATAATTGCTATCCAATGAGTATTTTCCAGTCGATAAATTGGATACACAGTGGCAGTGATTAGGTGTGGTTTTAGCCATGGTAGTCCAGGCCTCAGTGAGGTCTAGCTCAGGACGAATACCTGAACAGATAATTCTACAGTGGAAGTCTGCTTTTAAAGACTGTTTGTTCCCACCAATAATTCTGAATTCACTTTCAATTACATTGGTCAGAGTAGAGAATATGTGGGGGCAGACTTCTCTCTCTCTCTTTCTCTCACTTGGAGTGTGTTATAGACTGAATTGTATCTCCCCAGAATTCGTATGTTAAAACCCCAACCTCCAATGTGACTGTAAAGCCATAGGGCCTTTAGAGGGGTAAATAAGGTTAAATGAGGTGATAAGGGGGGCCCAAATCTGACAGGATTGTGATCTTATAGGAAGAGGAAGATACATCAGGGCTCATTCTCTCTCCAGGTGCACACAGAAGAAAGGCAATGTGAGCACACAGTGAGAAGGTAGCTGTCTACAAGCCAGGAGGAGAGTCCTCACCAGAAACCAACCCTGAGGACCCCCTTGATCTTGGGCTTCTAGCCACCAGAACTTTGAGAAAATAAAGTTCTGTTGTTTGGTCACCCGGTCTGTGGCTTTGTGTTATGGCAGCCCTAGCCGACTAACCCAGCGTGTGAGAGCAGAAGGGCAGAGTTGTAACCCTGCCTTCATAGTTTATATGTGGCATACTTCTTGGGATCACAGATGAGAAAAGTCATGGATTATATGTAACTTCCAGAATGTCACCCCACTTCCTTTCCTGTTCAAGAAAACACAACAGGAAATATGTGGGTGAGGCTAATATGCTTATCCAAAATGATATTCCCCTTTATTTCACCCTAATAGATGCACTAGATTATTAAAATGCCATGATACTTCTCTCCTGGTTGGTAAAAGCTTAGGTTTCTCAAGCCTCCTTCTCAGTGCCCTCTGCACTAATACATTCATTCTCTAGTACTGTGGACCGCCCCACTATCTAGCACCTGGGACAACGGCAACCCCTTTGCCAGAGTTCTTTCTGATTGGTGGATGCCCCTGACCTACTAGTTGTTAATACTTTATCACCCCTGCTTATTTTAGAAATAAACCTGAATTAGCTTTTTAAAGTATGTCATTTGCAAACTTCAATACTTAATTAGTAACAAATAACTAAAGGCACTTTGCAATTGGTTGCGAGTCACAATGCCACCATTCAGAACTGTTGCAGGAGACCACAAAAAGAAATCAAGTCTATGAATGAGATCATTTAAGCATGTAAGAGTCTGGCTCATGAACATCTCCTGCAATGCTGTGGGGGATGAGGGATGATAGTAAACCCCAGTTACTGCAAGGCTGGCAGACGATGAGTAATGTGCTTTTTTTTTTTTTTTTTTTTTTGGCTCTTTGATTGCATTTCTTCTTTTCCTCTGAAGCCTTCTTGTATCAAGTCCAAGGAA